GACTCTAATAAGATTTCAAAAGAAAATCAGAAACAGATTTTTCTCAGTGGTAGGACTATTGGCAAGGTTAAGATATTTTTATTTTCATTAGAAACTCTTGTCTCAGGTAGAGTTAGAGATTTGTAGTATAAGCATGAAAAGATCAAATCTGAAAGCATTATAATAATATTTTTAGAAGCACAACAGTTTTTAGTGTTTCAGATGCTTTCTTTTTGGTTATAACTTACAGTACATTACATTTTATTAGGTAACTGTTACTCAATTTTGAGTTTAGAGTGACTAATGTTGCTAACGTATTTTTTTCTTCTTTGTGTGGAAGGGAATGGAAAACCTGACGTTTGTCTACCGCTCCTGTAAAGTTATCTGGACGTTACTTGTAACAATACTAGGTTATGCCAGCAGCTTGCCTGTGGGTGATGATTCTATTTGCACAACGGAGGAACTTGCTAAATACAGCATAATCTTCACAGGGAAATGGAGTCAGACTGCTTTCCCTAAGCAGTACCCACTTTATAGGCCCCCAGCACAGTGGTCATCAATGCTAGGTAAGTGAAGTATGCCCAGTTTTTAGAACAAATGAATCTGTTGACCACTGTGATCTTCTTATTTCTTAACAGTCAATTTTAAGGCAACAAATGAAAAAGGAGAAAAAAAAGCCAAGTTATTAAGAATGAAATGCAGACATGTGAAGTATCCACAGTGCTTTCAAAAATCCACAACTGTTTTCAATTGACTTCTGTATTCAATTGACTGCAGCTGAAATAAACAGAGATAAGCCAAATGTTTTAGTGTTCACTCATTTTTATACACTTTTTTTTTAACCTCAGAAATAAAACAGAGAAATTGAATAAATAGGGACAATCTAAACCAGACTTTAATGTCATGCCGTGTATTCACTCAAATAGGTGTTACTCACAGCTCTGACTACAGCATGTGGAAAAAAAATGAATATGCCAGCAATGGTGTCCGTGATTTTGCTGAAAAAGGTGAAGCATGGGTATTAATGAAAGAAATAGAAGAAGCTGGAGAGAAAATTCAGAGTGTACATGGAATCTTCTCTGCTCCTGCCATTCCCAGTGGTACAGGACAAACATCTACTGAATTAGAAGTGCATCCAAGACATCCCTTAGTAAGTAAATATACATATTAATTTTAAAAGTTTATTTTATGTCACTAGCACCCAAAATTAAAGTGAATTCTCACTTATAGGAATAATGTAATGCAAGGAGCTACTAAAAACTATGTGACATTGAAGGGAGCACTGTACAGGTTCTATAAAGTAGAAGATTACAATGACAGTTCTTACAAAATTTTTAAATTATTTTATATATATATACTATAAGCAGGACTGGAGCATTTAAAAAAAAAAAAAAAAAAGTGATGCAATCCTGATGGATCATTTTGTTTCATTAGGTTTCATTTGTGGTACGAATTGTTCCAAGCCCTGACTGGTTTGTGGGTATTGACAGCCTAAATCTCTGTGAAGGAAACCGCTGGATGGAAGAAGTATCAGTAGACCTATTTCCATATGATGCTGGAACTGACAGTGGTTTTACATTCTCCTCCCCAAACTTTGCCACTATTCCACAGGACACAGTTACAGAGGTAGGTGTATATACATAGGTTAGCACTTAATACCTGTATGTTTTGAGTCCTCCCTTTAAAAGATAAATATCCTATGAGTACACAATAGGCCCTTGCGAATCTGATTCCAGTATTGAAGAGTGCTGACGCTCTCTTTATATAGATTTATTACACAGCTGATAATCCTACTGCTTTTGTTTATTTTCTGTATCATTCAAATTTATTAGGCAAATGAAGCTGGTTCACAAAAATTTGGCTCTACATTTAAAGTTTTTCTGTAAAATCTGACTATTTTTATATCATTTTTAGCAATTCATAAGCCACCAGGAAAATAAAAGTATTCACAAAAGTCCTGGCATTCATAAATATGTATCTAAACATGAAAATTTTTAGTAGTGAATACTGATTTGGGGAGGAGTCTTCAGTTAAAAGCATTGCTGAAACCTGAAACTTACAATTGAGGGAAAGGAGCTAAGGAAAGCAGAGGAGAACTTCATCACTACTGAGGTGACCCCACTTTCAGTCTCTTTTGTTGCTTGATATTCTATATGCCTCATACTTTGCTTTTGTTATTTAAGGGTGGTGGAGAGCAAAGGATTTTGATTCAAATGTTTTAAATACTATAAACATTCAGTTAATCCTTTCTTTAAGGTTTTCTGTAGCCAAATGCTGTGCTAATAAGAGGATCGAGAAGCTGGAAAACAATACAATTGACCTTCTAGAACCATATGATAACAGCTATAGCATAATTAGTACAATATGATACTCTTGTATTCTTCCTTGTAATAACATCTACTTCTTTCCATCAAACCATTCCATACATTACTGTGGTTTTGGTACTTCCCACTGCAGTCCTCTCTAAAAGGTTGGCACAATTCATTGTCTCAGAGGATTATGCACAAAAAGTCTAGGATTACCAGCAGTAGTTACGTGGACTGAGGTTCATATAACCTGGTTATATGCATTTTACTTGCCAAAAAAATATTAGTATGATGTATAAACATGATTTTACAGTTACCTTCTTACTAGTAGGATATAGCTTCTTTAAGGTTCTCCTTTTTATTTGACAGATCACTTGTTCCTCTCCAAGCCACCCAGCAAACTCATTTTATTATCCCAAACTCAAAATTTTGCCACCTATTGCTCAAGTAATGATGGTAAAACTGAAGAAAACCCAGCTGGGTCTTTCTGCACCTTTTATTAATCCTCCAGCTAAAAGCAACGAAGTAATAGACTCTGTCTTAGGTAAGTGATTAGTTCTTCAATATGCTCAATTCTGTTATTCCCATTCATTCAGAAAATATATGGAAATCTGGTAAGTGATATGGATGAAACAGGTGATTAGGCAGAATGTTCTCCTATTTGCATAGGAATGGTTTTCAGACTCACCCATGGGAAATAAAACAAGCCAGTTGACAAAAGAGAATTCCTGAAAAAATGAGGAATAAGGATTGCATGTTTGAGCTATGGTTCAGTGGTTTGGGTTCTATTCACAATAAGAGCTTCTCAAGCCTTAGTATTGCATAGATCAGGAAATTTTATGAGAAACACTAATCAGAATCAGAGCTTCAAAATTCTTTGCAACTTTAAAGTAAATATTCATCCTGAAGTTTCTACATGTTGACCAAGCAAAGTAACTATTGTCTTTTTCCAGGTCAGAGGGTTTGATGGTTATATGCAATAAGAATTAATATAATTCAATTGGTCTGGTCATATTTGTGATAGAAACATACACCCACAGCAAAAGTAATGTTCTCTCTCATTTTTCTCAAAAATACTGGCTAATCATCTTGTTTAGGTAGGAACATACTCAAACTATGGACTCAAATCAGTTTTACGGGTAATTTTCAAATCTCCAAATTAATAAATACATATTTAACATAATAGTTGCTTGAAGGGAAAGGTAGCAGTTGGACAGTGTCCACTGAGATTTTCTCATTACAGTTTTCTAGCTGATTTTTACAAAGTGTAAGAAGAAGGGTTAATAATAAGACTGACATCCAAAATACTACTTGTGAGACAACCAAAGGCTAAATCCCCAGTGTTTTTCTAGAAGAGCTGCCATGTCCAAAAGCTTCTCCAGGATGCCTGTAGGTTGCATGCCTCTAGCTCTGTTCTGAAGTTACCTCACAGTCAGCAAAATTAAACTCATTCTCTACACAGTTAAAAGTGCATGATTTATACCTTAATAAATGTATTTCTCTACCAATATATAGCATTTAAATGTATTTCTATTACTAAACACACTATATTCAAAATGAGTGCTACATATCTCATTTTTAGTCATATGCCTTTCCTGCTACATTTGAAAGGAGCATCTGGCCCTTTTTAGGATAGAAATTTAAAAGAATGCATTTAAAGTATGATATCTCAAAAGTTATTTTTAATCATAGATCCCCATTTTACTCTATATAACCAGCAAATCAGTCTATTTAAAAACATATTGCAGAATCAAAAAGACCGGTTTAATTACCAAAGATCAAACTGTCCCCCTCATTCCCTATGGAAACATGGGAATGAGTGGTCACCGAAGAGATAGTGAGTTCCACTGTAATACTAGAAATCTGTGTCAGAGGTCACATATAGTACCACATTTAAAGCTGGGTTTGTGAGCACCTATTTTACCCACAGACGCTGTAATACCATTTTGATGTGATTTCCTATGAGAAGCAAAGTTTTCATTTAACCTGCTAAGGAATAGTCACCTATATTTTTATGAGAGATATTTTCAATGGAAGTATAGATTATTAAAAGCACTTTAGTTTCTGACTTCTATTTTTGCAGTAAATTCAAACTGTATTGAAATCCCTTTTAGTATTAAAAAGCTTCTAGTGACAGAATATCTTTATTGGCAAAGGGAACTGCAGTGTACATACACAATAAGAAGATGACTTAATGATAAAAAAATGTGACTTTTCTCTAATCCTGAAGCAAATAGGAAAAGAAAGTTAAATGGAATTCTACATGAACAACTGTAAGAACAGTATCTATCTGCAAAGAAATGTAAATATAGCTAAATAAACCAGAGAAAACCTTTAATCCCAGCGTTTTCAGTAAGACATGAGAAGGCAAATGCATAACAAAATCAATAGTAAATGCTTTTTTTAAAGCAATCTTTTGAATACAATTACTTAAAGCATAGTTTTCTTTGATAGGAATTCTATGTTTTCAATTCGGTAGATAATATGCTGCACTACTTATGTGTTACCTCAGACAGTCTGTAGACTGCAATAATAATAATAATAATAACAGTGTTGATGAGCTTAGGAGCTGAAAACAGACATTTTTGTCTGTGGGATATGGATTTTGCTAATGTCACGTGCGTTTTTGTACAAGAAAGAACATTATTTGATCATAGTTCCTTAATGCTCTGCCAATTATGTATTTGACATAAGCACACGTTTATGTAATGTCACCTTTTTATTGTGTGTATTGCAGAAACACCACTGGACTGTGAGGTTTCACAGTGGTCTTCCTGGGGTCTCTGTAGAGGTATTTGCAGAAAGACAGGGACCAAGATCAGAACTCGTTTTGTACTTCTTCAACCTGCCAACAATGGAATGCCTTGTCCAAATCTGGATGAAGAAATAGGATGTGAACCAGAGAATTGTATCTGAAATAAAGAAAAGATAATAATTTAGTTAATTTAAAAGTAGAATAAGTTTAACTAAATCTCAATTACATGTCAGTCAATGTTCTTTATAATTTGGGTACGCTGCACTATTTTGCTGAAAAGGTATATTAGATTGATTTTGAAAGCTGTTGTTTAATATCAAGATTTTGAAGGGTTAAATTCCTAAGGTTTAGTGTGACAAAAGTACTTGATCATTTGCAGACCAAAAACCCCAAATAAATCCTTGCTATAAATATACTGTAAGTTCTTGGAGTACCCTCTAGTGGCAGAAAAGAAGACATTTGGAAAGATTATACTTCACACATGGAAAAATCTTTCAGTCACAAAATATAAACTATAACGTTCTTAAATACTGTAATTTGTTGATCTACAGCTATTTATACCTAGACATTAATTTTGTCTCTAAATTATGTTTTTTTATAATTTATTGGCATTGTTGTAGTCTTTCTATATGATGTGTTTAACATGTATTTCTTCAGAAACTACCTACATAAATCAGAATGATCAGATGTTTGCAGTGTGGTTAAGACAGTATTATAACTGAGTAAACTTGTCTTGAGACTTAGGAATATATGAAAATGTCTTTTTCTCTCAAGAATGAGAAGAATATCTGTTATGAGGACATCGGCCAACAAAATTGCTAGAAAAATCAGAAGTGTGGATACTAGTAGATAACCTCTGAACTTAATTAAAAGTGTTATCTGAGATTTAAAACCTAACTGACTGTTGGTGTGTGTCCCTTATAAGACAACTCTCTCAAAGTTAACACCCTTGACCATACCATAAATTACATCATCTTTATATATGCAGTAAATGTGTCCTTGTTTCTTTAAGTGTTTGCTGCTATTTGTGTCATTCTAATCTTACCAGTGTTATAATAGTATCTAAAATTAAGGTATACACAGATATAACAAACACAGTATGTCTGAAAATGTTCCCGACTGCAAATTTTAATGCTCAAATAACTGTTACACAATGAATGTAACATATGGCTTATAAAGGGTTGTGGTTAACAATGAGGAAAAGAATTTTGGAATAGCTGTTCAATAGAATATGTTTACAGTCAGGCCACAAAACTTTTACAGCACACTGCAATTTTATATACATATATACATATACAGCACAGATATTGAACAGGAGAGTTGATTTGAGTTGGTTCTTTTTGGAATATGCCAATATTAGAAAATGTATTATGTATTTAAAGGAGCACATTGGATCCTCTGCAGGGCTGAAACCTGTAAAAGGTTCTCTCTATGTCTTTTTTTTTTTCAGGAGATAAGTCTTGCAAAGACCTGAAGAAATCTGAAACTTTATCAGACTAGACTAAGTTGGTCCTGCACATGCTGATAAACACACAGTTGTTAGAGCTAAGTATAGGAACTTACGCATCATGCATTCTTCAGATTCCCACTGTTGCCTGGTTTTCAAAATGGTTTCACTTACTCTTTTTATTATACCTTTTTTTTTTTTTCAGGTTCCTCTGTTTCCATTCTATAATGGAAATAGTTTTACTGCACTATCATTTTCATATTTTGTGTTTAGTTAATTTCTCCACCTTTTCAATTTTTTTCTTTTTATATTAATTTTACTCATTCTATGTTTTCTTTGCTGTTAGATTTGTTTACTATATAGTTAAATAGTTATCACCATCTCAGAAAACATAAGCATTGCCATGTTTTTACTGTATACATGACCAGAATTTAGGATCTTAGTTCTGCAAAACATGATTTAATAGTGGATCAGTCCCAGTGGTTACTTTACCCCTGAAGCCACATGTTTCCCAAAGGACAGTGAAAGAGAAGGAATGAGAAGGGGGGGTGGAGTAGAAAGGGAATTGAATATGTAAAAAAACAACATACTTCAGGAAAGTCCAGTTAGTGATATATAACTTTTCTGGTTTAGAGTTTTTACATACATGAATAATCCTTCAAGCAGAAGTTTCCTGTCCAGTCAGTTACCTGATATGGGATTTTTGTAAGCAGTGACTATGGGAGACCTTGGTAAATATGGCATTAAGGATGCCTTTGTGGCTGTATAATGTTTGGCCATAAATACAGTTCCAGGTGTTGCCTTTGCAAACATTAGAGATAGAGACATTTTTTGGTAAGAATGTGGATGCAGTGAGTTCTACTGAAACACATTCTAATGATGGAGACATTTCTTATAACACTTCTAAACTGATTGATGAGATACGTGATCCCTGTGTGAATATGGATAGACCTTTGTAGCTTTTGCTTTCAGCATAGTTTTGGATTTGTCTTAGAATATTTGGGACAGTGAAAAAACACTGAGAAGCTCTTCCTTTCCTTTCCATTCAGTGTTACAGATGGCTGGCAGCCAAGACACTGTGGTCCTAAATACATGAGATTTAGGGAAGGAAATAGGTAAATTAATTCCTGGGTTAAACTAATCTCAGAAAACACTTTGGGAGGAAATTTGAAATAGCTTTGTAAAGACAATTTTATTAGCAAGAATGTTTTGTAGGAAGAATCAGATTTGATGCCTTGGCAGATATTCTTGCAGAATGGAAGAGATGTTAAAGGTAAGTGTAGCAGCAACAAAAGTCACCATAGACTTGAACTGTGGTCCTACCATAAACTACAAATTGAGTGTGTGTAGTGGAATAGGGTACTTCATTACTGAGAACAACTTGTCCAGTACCTTAAGGAGTTTAAGGTCAGCTAGCTGTGAACACATGAAAGATCTTCCTATTATCTTGTGGTTGCTAGGAATGCCAGATGAAGCTGCATATATATTTGTGTTTTTTACGGGCTGGGGCTTCTCTGTGAACATCTAATACAGCAGCTTGGTGGTTAATGCTGAGAAAAATACAGGACAATATTGTAGATAAGTCACAGTACAGGGAGGACTGATGTGATCTATGAATGGAACTGAACTGAATAGAAAAGCTGGTATCATGCAATAAAAGTCACCTGCTTGAGCCTTAGGTAATCTAAAGGAGAGGTCAGACATATTGTTCTACCAGCTTCTTTAAAATGATTGGGATGGATGCCCAGTATGTGTGTGTGTGTGAAACAAGCTTACTAACTGCTGCTTGAGGCCCTGTTCCATTTCCCTAGGTAAATTTGTGTTCCCACAACTGAGAAGCTCTATCAGAGGGCCACCTCTGTACTATATAAGTGTACAGTATAAATGGGCCAGCTCTATCCAATCAATCTTGTCCACCAAGTTGCAGTTTGGGGAGGGAGAGTCTTGGGTTCATTGAAAAACAGTTCTAATACCCTAATACTCTAAGTTTAGCATGGTCACAGAAACTAATGTGTGTCTATCTAGAAAGGAAGAGAAAGTGTATGGCAGCCTTTCTGATCATTGAGCAGAATGAACACTGTCCCCAGTAGGACATAACTGGAGTGTGAAGAAAAGATCTGAGAGTAATATATGGTATTGAAGGCAAATAGTCCCATTTCATAGTATTCCAAGTCCCAGGTAATTAAGTACATTGGGAATATCTGCTCTGTCACGAATGATCCAACATAAAAAAGTAACTTAGACTATCCGTGACAATATTTAGCGTGCTCAGAAAATAAACCTAGCACTTGATACAGCAATTCTGAAGTCAGCTGAATCCTGTTTAATGGGATGTTGCATGCAGAAGTTGTGCCTGTCTAGCAAAAGTACATAAGTAATGTGTCTATCCCAAGTGATCTGGTCAGAGTAAAGGGTAAAGGGTTGTCCCCTTGTATGTCTTGTGTTCTGCCATTGGAAAATGGAATTTTGGTAACTTCAAGTAGTCAATGAAGAGCTAAAAGGATGATTGCTTAAGTAGCTCACAAACTGCAGATAAATATTTACTTCTTTCAGGTGTAGCAGGGGATGAGAATATATGCAGGTGCATGCCAGGTAAGATCTTCCATGATGGAGGCGTGAGAGTCCAATTATATGACAAGAATCTATATAATCTAAAATGATTTCTGATGGTTAAATGCTAAAGCAGTAACAGAGTCCTAATATCACCCCTTAGACTCCTGAAGATTCAATGGCCATAAGATACAATTTGTATCCCCTATCCTTAACCATATGGAGTCAAAGAGAAGAAATGCTTAAGGAATCACTTCTCCTTGTCTCATAATCCCTTTATCAGTACAGGGATGTTGTATTTTTCTGGAGGTGAACTAATTCTTGTGCTAGAACTTCTGTGAAGTTACTTCAAGATGTGAAATGAGCTGAACTAATGATGGTTGTAAGCCTGTGCTTACAGAATTGGATAGGAAGCCCAACATAGTTTTATTTATAGGTGTAACCAAATAACACTAAATGCAAATGGGACATTTTAAAAGGCAATTGAAAGAAGGTGTTAGATAATATGAGAAAAGGACTACTCATGATCCTTTGGTATACGTATTGTATTAAGCGTGCAACTTCTGCAGCTGAGCATTTGACAGCTATATAAAAAGAAAACATAAAATCCAAATTCTACCTTTTCAAGCAAAATAAATGCTGATAAACTTCCAGAAATGAAAGGTGTTTTCCTTAGCTACATGCATATATAGCATGTGTGTGTGCAGTAGAGGAAGCTTATGCACCATAATCTGAAGTCAGGATGACAGAACTCTGAAGTAAACTGAGAGGTTCTTGAAGATACATTCAAGGACATCATCGAACAATTTCATTATCAAATCTCAGATGCTGTTGAGGAACATGGCAGGGCTGGAAAGAGTCGGTGCATTCAGCAGGAGTGTAGCAAGATTCTGAAGGGGAAAAATGAGCTTGAAAATGAATTCTTCTTACTGGGAATGATCCCATAGGTGGATCCTTCCTTGCTGGTAAACGACCGCATATCCTCTCACATTGAAACCACTCTTTCAGACACGTTTATCTCAGTTTATAGGACAAGGAACACCTGAATTGTAAGTTACGTCACCATCTGACATATAGATTGGTCTATATTAGTACAGAGATTAAAAAGAAAGGCCTCAATCATCAATTTACACTATAATTTTCTTTGGAGAATTTATTAA